ATTGTAGAGATGAATGAAGTCTCACCAAGTTGCCCAGGCGGGTCTCGAACCCGCGGGTTCAGGCAATCCACAAGTCTTCGCCTCCCAAAGTGCTGGGATTACAGGCTGAGTCACCCAGCCAGGCCAAATATGAATACTTTTGATTAAAAGAGGAAAAAACGGTGACCTGGATAATTTGTGACTTCTTCCTGAAGAAATGGTGGCATCCCTAAAGATCCTAATTGCACTCTGTCATGTGGGATTTCCATGGATGTCTCCAGCATTCCTGTCAGGTCATCCACACCTGAACGTTCCCTGCCCTCAGGTGTCTGCAAACTAAAATGGAAAGGTGTGCTCATGAGCAGCAACAAGGGGCATGTCAGGGGGAAGCTGTGCAAACCGTCTCCAAGCTGAGCCTCCATGCTGCACTGTGCTCCATCTGCCGGCACCTTCTCCACACAAGCAGTGCCAAGTGTGTGTGTGTGTGCTTTGCAAGGCTGGCATTTGGTGCATTGCTATGTTTTGCTTTCTCTCCTCTAGTGAGTAAACGCCTGTTCATCTTGGGCCCCTCACATTCTCTTTATTCGGGAAATGATTTTGTTTTCCACTGGGCTTCAGTAGGAAAGAGACAGAGACATATTGCAAAGCGTGGAGGTGAGTATGTGTTAAGCATTTCCTGGTATCTTGTATCAGAACGTAAGACCAAGAGTTGAAGCTGCAGTTGTATTGTCATCACATAAGCCTTGACTTTGTATGTTTCTTAGAGTCGCCCAAAAGCAAAGCTTGAGATAAGGATTTGCAGACAATCAGTTCACTTGGGAAGTGGTCCCAGGAAACACCAGTAGGGTCACCAGAGAATGTGAGGGGTTCAAGATAAACAGGTGTTTATTCACTGGAGAAGAGAAAGCAAAACGCAGCAATGCACCAAATGCCAGCCTGGCAAAGCATACACACACACACACACACACACACACACACACACACACACATTTACCTCACAGGAAAGTAAAGGGAGTCAATAAAAGATGCATTATCGCTGGGCTCGGTGGCTCAGCCTATAATCCCATGCTTTGGGAGGCCGAGGTGAGCGAATTGCCTGAGCCCGAGGGTTCGAGACCCGCCCAGGCAACTTGGCAAGACCTCGTCTCTACAATACATCAAAATCTAGCCAGGCGTGGTAGCACACACTCGTCGTTCCGGCTACTTGGAAGGTTGAGGTGGAAGGATCACCAGAGCCCAGCAGGTCAAGGCTGCAGTGGCAGGGAGCGGCCACTGCACTCCAGTCTGGGCGACAGAGTGAGACTCCAACTCAAAAAAAAAAGATGCATTATCTATGTATCTATTTATTTTTATTTAAATTTTGTTTTTTGTAGAGACATGGTCTCACTCCGTCACACAGGTTGGAGTGCAGTGGAATGATCACAGCTCATGGCAGCCTCAAGCTCCTGCACTCGACGGATTCTCCTGCCTCAACCTCCTGACTAGCTGGAATGACTTTTTAAATATGTTTTGTAGAGACAGAGTCTTACTACCTTGGCCAGGCTGGTCTTGAACCCCAAGATGCATTGTTCTACAGGTCACCACTGTGACAGCTGCGGCTCAATCCACTCAGAAATTCTGAGAAGCAGTTTAGAATATGTGCCTCAGTGTTCTTCCATCGAAAGAGGTGGTAGCCAGCCTGCCTTGTTATGGGCTGAATTGTGTCCCCAGAATAAAGATACATTGAGGGCCAGGCACAGTGGCTCATGCCTGTAATCCTAGCACTTTAGGAGGCCAAGGCTGGAGGATCGGTTGAGGTAAGGAGTTTGAGACCAGCCTGGACAACATAGTGAGACCCTGTCTCTAAAATAAAATGAAATAAAAAGTTTTAACTTAAAAAAAGAAAAAGATATGTTGAAGTCCCAATCTCCAGTACCTCAGAATGTGACCTTATTTGGAAATAGGGTCACTGCAGATGTAATTAGTTAAGAAGAGATTATATTGGAGGAGTCTGGGTTCTTTATCCAATATGACTAAAATCCTTAGACAAAGAACGCCATGTTAAGAGACTCACAGGGAGAAGGCACCCATGGGAAGCTGGAGGCAGAGATTAGAGCTATGCTGTCACAAGCCAAGGAAGGTCTGGACCACCAGAAACCAGGAAGAAGCAAGGAAGCTCCCTCCTCCACAGGCTCTGGAAGGAGCATGGCCCTACCAACACCTTGATTTTGGACTTCTGGCATCTAGAAGTGTGAGAAAATCAATCACTGTTATTTCAGACCATCCAGTTTGCAGTACTTTGTTACAGCAGACCTAGGAAACAGGTGCAATAATTACATACCAACCCCTTGTACACCATGAGGGCTGTCTCCAGCAGCCTTGTTCCACCCCTGTCCCCACCACCCCCAACCCCCATCCGTCAACTCACTGGTCTTGGCAAACAGCCAGTCATGATCCCATGGTCAGAAAAAACCCAGGCAGCGAGATACTAAGATGCCTTTTAGAAGTGTGTGCCCAGGTTTAGAACAACTTGCCATCAAATTTGTAGCATTGATGGGCCTGCTCCCCACATGATAAAGCTGCAGCTCTCCTGGAAAAAGTACGTCACAGAGAGTTCATCTGAAAGGAATCTGGTTCAATTAGCACAGGCAATTCTTGATTTAGGAGGAGGAGAACCAGGCCTTCCTGGATGGATAAAAGTCACATGGGGTATCCAGACTTATTTTTGCCACTGCAGGGGCATAGGACACACTACCCCAAAGTATGACTGTAGGAGACCAGAATGAGCCACCCCCAAAATATACTCCTTGGGCATATTTTGAGCTGGTTATTCTCAGAAACTGCAGACACGGGAACAGCTCTAAAAAGCTGTTCTTTTAAAAAGGAAACTTACATTCATAAAGAAAATCTACATTAGTAAAATATCTGTATTAGGGAGAGGGTTGCTTGATAACTTTTATTTCCTGAGAGACTTTATCTGCATAGCAAGGCAACCTTTATTCACCATAGAATTTACCTCTTTAGGCAGGACAGGCGCAGTGGCTCACTTTGGGAGCCCAAGGCGAGAGGACTGCCTGAGCCCAGGAGTTCGAGACCAGCCTGGGCAACTTGGCGGGACCTCATCTCTACAATAAATTTAAAAAATTAGCCAGGCATGGTGGCACATGCCTGTAGTTCCAGCGACTTGGAAGGCTGAGGTGGAAGGATCACCTAAGCCCAGCAGGTTGAGGCTATGGTGGCCATGAGCATGCTACTGCACTCCAGCCTGGGAGACAGAGTGAGACTCCAACTCAAAAAAAAAAAGAAGAAGAAAGAATTCCCCACCCATCCCCACCTTCCCATGACTTCTGTCCCCCAGAAGCCTTAAGGACCTGTTCCTTTTTGTAGCTCAGGATGCTGTAAAAATTCTAATCATCTGACTCATTGGAGTTTTATATTTTGTGCAACTTCTGGGCCTGTGCACATAATTAAAATGGCTTTTCTCCTATTAATCTGTCTACTGTCAATTTATATCATCGACTTAATTAGCAAACCTTTAGAAGATAGAAAGCTTTCTCTTCCCACACCTCCCAGAGAACATCTCTTTACCTGAACTGCCAATGTGGTAGAAATCAAACAAGCAGAAGCTGCCAAGAGTGAGGAGTGTTACAACAGGTAAAAGAAGGGGCCGGGTGCGATGTCTCATGCCCCTAATCCCAGCACTTTGGAAAGTTGAGGCAATTGGAACACTTGAGCCCAGAAGACCAGCCTGGGCAACATAGTAAGACCTTATCGCTACAAAAAATTAGCTAGGTGTGGTGCCATATGCCAGTAATCCCAGCTACTCAGGAAGCTGAGACAGAAAGAACACCTGAATTCAAGAGGTCGAATCTGCAGTGAGCCATGATTATGCCACATCAGCCTGAGCGACAGAGTGAGATTCTGACTCAAAAGGGAAATTGTCCAACTGTCTTGCTGTAAGAAGCTGCAGGGATAATTATGGCAGCAGCTAACATTTCCTATGACACTGCTATATACCAGGCACTATGGTGAATGTTTTGCTTAAACTCAGGTCATCCTTGTAACAATCCAATAAGACAGAGACCTTTATTGATGAACCTGAGGTTCAGAGAGGGAAAGTAACTTGCCCAAAGGCACACAGCTACTTGATAACAGACTCAGAGCTCTTTTTTTTTTTTTTTTTTTTTTTAAGAGAGCAAGATTTATTGAGAGCAGAAAAGCTCCCACAGTGGGAGGGGACCCAAGGGGGTTGCCCAGAGCTCTGTCTTCTTACAGAGTCAAATCAGATAAGCCCTGAGGGACCAGGAATCTGTTTGGACTGACCAGATGTTCTGACTCCCACTCCAGAATTCTTCCAATTATCCAGGCTTTCTTCTCAGAACTGAAAAATAATCCTTGTCTGGCTACTTTGAGAACTCTCAAAAGGATTAATAAGATTTTTTTTTTTTTTTGAGTTGGAGTCTCCCTCTGTCGCCCAGGCTGTAGTGCAATGGCACACTCACGGTCACTGCAGCCTCGACCTAGGGCTCAGGCAATCCTTCTTCCTCAGTCTTTCAAATAACTGAAACTACAGGCATGCACCACCACGCTCATCTAATTTTTTTTTTTATTTATCGCAGAGATGAGAGCTCACCAAGTTGGCCAGGCTAGTCTCAAACCCTTGAGCTCAGGCAATCCTCTCACCTAGGCCTCCCAAAGTGCTGGGATTATAGGCATGAATCACCGTGGCTGGCAATAAGATTTTTAAAGTAATACTTTATGATTGTTTTTGAATCAGGTTCTTCAAGCCCGTTTAGTTTCTCTCCATGCCTTAATATCTTTCTCCTTATATCTGCCACATATTTTTCACCTCAAAAGGTTTGCTTTTTTTATTCTATTATGCATACAAAGCCCAACAAATCCTAGTACCATTTTTTTGCAGCTTAGTTCAAAGAATGTATACAACCAATAAAATCTTAATTATGACAGAAAAAAAAAAAAGAATGGATTTGAAAAATCATACTCCTCCTTATTAGCCCAAAGGGAGTTGAAAGCAACGAAGCTTTTGGTCTCAGGTGAATCCTTTATTATTTCAAACCGAGACAGACATTTTTTTCAAAGACAGTTGCACAGTCATTGTCACAAGCATGTTAATAAGTCTATTTGCAAGAAAGAATATGCTACAAGTCATGCTATTCATATTTTCAATAGCATTCTGGCAAAAATAAAAGACATTTCCAATTTGTCAAACATTTAATGAACAGTAAAATCTACTTTCTGCCTTTGGGTAAATACATGGTGTCTTTCAGTGAAGTAGAAAATAGATCACGTGAAGACTGCTTCTTGGAACTACCCATGGCTCCAATGACCATCAGCCCCTCTGGCTGAACTTCTCGGCTATCTTCTGCAGTTCCAAATCCATTGCAGCCAAGTTTTCGAGTTCTTTCTCCTGAAAAATATGAAAAAGTGAAGGCATGAGGTCCTGAATCAATGTGTTTTGCTGCAGTTTGAGGGAGTCTGAATGGAAAGAGGAATTTTAGTATGTTACATGCTATTTGAGACAACATGCACGCTCCCAAAGCGTGTTCCCTTGACTGGCAGCATCAGCATCATCAATAGTGTTACCTCTCCCAGAGGTAAATTTTTTTCTTTTTATTATTTATTTTTTGGTAGAGATGGGATCTCAATATGTTGCCCAGGCATATCTCAAATTCTTGGGCTGTTGCCCAGGCTGGTCTCAAATTCCTGGACTCAAATGATCCTCTTGCCTCACCCAGCCCCAAATATAAATTTCTAATTGCAATAGGGCATAAACCAATAGAGATAGCAAACTAAATAGCCAGGCAACTAATTTCTGCTCACCTATTCTTCCTACCTTGGGAGAGAGAGATGAACAGTCAAATGCCCAAGAGGAAAACACTAGGGTGGTGACTGTCAACCTTGGCTGAACATTGCAACCACCTGGGAGCTTTAAAATCTCCTGATGCCTGGTCAGCACCCAGTACCAATTAGACAGAATCTCTGGAGGTGATCCCAAACACAGTGGTTGTTCAAGCTCTCCAGGTGATTCCAGTGTGCAGCCAAGATTGAAAAGCACTGCAACAGAGGGCGGTGAGCAGGGATATGGATGATGGCCAGAGAGTGCGTGAAAATCGACCCCAGAGGTGGTCTCCACTCTGATACTGTGGCACCATTATCATAGTGACTAATTCCCACCAGTTTCTTCCTATTAATATCAGTCTTGAACATAACATACTAGCATTGACCAAAGAAACTTAATTTTAAGCAAGAGCTCCACACCGTACCTCTTCCTCTGTCAGAACTCTCTGGTCAGCCCTGTCCTTTTCATCTTCTGCCTCGTGGCGTGTGCTCATAGGCTCCTCAGAATCATAGAAGTCTGGAAACTCAGCCGACTTCTTCCTGTAGTGAAGGAGCTGGTCAAGTTCAGCTATTCTGTCATACTGTCTTTTCAGATCCAGCTTGGGGGTCCTGGCGAGGTTTCCTTTCTCATAACCCCAATTCACATCCTCCGAGAAGGGTTTTTTCTCCCACCAGTCATAGTTGTATTCTGGGAAGAAATTCTTCTCATTCAAGGTCAGTCCATTTTCCTCTTCACCCTCGAGAAAATTGTCATCCATGTTGTCTCTCCTCTCAAAATGGCCGCTCTTCCACTGGAGAGGGTCATAGTATGGGTTGAATAGTTCCCCTAATCTCTTCCTCTTTTCGGTTGTGTGATGTGGGGCGTACTGTTTGTCTTGAAGCCTGGCTTCCTCCCTGATTTCTACAGCACCTTGCAGGTCTCCCTGCTGCCGCCACTTGCCTGGGGTTTCCTCCTCCCCATAGTTGAGGTAATTTCTGTCCAGCTCTTTCCACTCACCTTGTGGATGCCTCCTGGCCTTGTCCATTTGGCTTTCTTGAACACGGTGGTGTCCTTCGCCCAAGAATCTTTTCTCTTCTCTAGTGTCAGACATGGAATAGGCACCCAGCTCCCCTCCCCTGCCTCTGTGATGGCGTCTCTTTCCCCCCTCAAGACCTCTCTCTTCCTCACTTTCTTCACTATAACCATGTGCCACGCTGTCAAGCTCTGAGCTGGGACGGCTTCTCTTGTCCTCCTCATCCCGCTTCTCCTCACTAAAAGGCCTTGGAGCCCTGTACTCCTCACTTCCTCTGCCCCCGTGTCGTTCCCCCTCCAGGTCCTCAGGGGCCCGGACACCGGGATAACTCCGCACATCTTCCCCATATTCGGGTTCTTCCTCTGAAGCCCTGTAGTGGGCGGAATGGTGGTCCCTCTTTTCCCCTAAACCGGTCATGCCTAGGTTTGACTCTTCAGATTTCTCAAGAGGCTGCCCCCTTTCCTCTGAGGGAAGATTCCCTTCCTGAGAGGACCTGTCGGGCCTGCTCCTCCCATGGTGGTGTCTGGGCCTTGAGCGTCGTTTGGCCACCTCAGAGGCAGCATCCTCCTCACTTTCCTCAGATTCTTCCTGGCTTTGGGGTTGGTTCTTAGACTCTTGGGGGCGTTTCTCCAGGCTCCTTGTCTCCTCTCCACTCTCCTGGCTACTTTTCTCCCGGCTGTGTGTCTTCTCTTCAGAGTGCTCAGCAGAGTGTGTATCAGATCTGGTCACTAATTCCTCTTTTTTCTTAGCTGAGGCCTGATTTCGTTTGTTGAGCAAAGCATTTTGTGTCTCTCCTGGCTCTACTCCGTGTTTTTCTTCACTGCCCTCTTCTCTGAGCTCCCCTTTCTGAAAGTGTTCTTTCTCCCCTTCTTCCTCCCTGTCCTCCCCCTCGCTCTTCTCAGAATGGTGTGTCTTTGCTTCTTGGGAGACTTGACTGTTGGAGGGATAGGGGCTCCCCTGGGGCTCATCAGCTCGCTCTCGGCTGTGCCCACCTCCCTCTGCCCATTTATCTGTGTCTGGCTTTGTTGGGCCTTGGGTGTCCTCCTCCCTTGGGGCTCCTGATTCCTCTTTACTGGAGGGCCTGTGGGCTTCCAAACCGTCAACTGGGTCTCTTAACAATCTTACTTCAAACTTTGTGTTTTCATTTTCACTTTTCTCTTTGTCTTTGACCTCTTTTCCACCTATAATGAAAATAAAAAAGCAAGATTACAGTAGATCTACTGTGCAGAGAGGTCTACACAGAGCTGTGATCTGGTTGATCTGTCTCTGGATTCACCGTAGTCCCTAACACAAGGCCCAATCTATGTACTTAATACCATCATATCTGAATACTCCTATGTAATTGTGTTTGTTTTTTGAGTTGGAAACTCACTCTGTCACCCAGATTGGAGTGCAGTGGCACCCTCCCGGCCACCACAGCCTCAATCTGCTGGACTCCGGCGATCCTTCCGCCTCAGCCTTCCAAGTAGCTGGAACTATAGGCGCACGCCACCATACCCGGTTAATTTTTTAATTTATTGTAGAGATAAGGTCTCACCAAGTTGCCCAGGCGGGTCTCGAGCCCACGGGCTAAGGTATTCCACTAACCTCGGCCTCCCAAAGCATGGGATTGCAGGCTGAGCCACCGAGCCCAGTTTGTAATTTTTAAAGTGGTCTCATTTCAATCATTTCACTAAGGTAAAAATAAATAAAACTCCAAGATTAAAAAATAAAATAAAATAAAAAAGCAAATATAACTTCAGAATTGTTTGTGGCTCAAAAAGGACCTGCCTTGGCCACCACTGCAAATCCTGAGGATGCTGAAAATTGTTTGGATAATTATTCAAGTTAATAAAAGATACACACAGATTTCTTCTATAAGCAAATGCTATGAAATTTCCTGGGCTGTGTTTAAATCTAATAATTAGCTCTCTATATTTTTATGTTTTCATAATACCCAACGAGCATCTCTCACTGGTACTATCAATGATCAAATTAAAATCCACATATAGTTTATGAAATATTAGAAGGGAGACTCAGAAGACATCCTAGAATGCATCCAGTTTGACCTCTTCTTTTTGCAGACATTGACAACTCAGAGGGATAATAATTCAGGACCATTCTCTCCATGTTTATGCTAAGAAGGGGTTAACAAATTAGTATTATGTGAATGCTCTAACTATAATCCAGCTAAATATAGTTAAATAGCCCAAATGGGAGATAGCAAGATTCAAAGGAGGATTTAAACATTGTTAATAATTAGTTTATATTAGACTTTTATTGTCCAACTGACTGTGTAGATTCAAACTAGCAGTAATTGACATATAACTTAGTAACTGGTGATTAAAAGGATGTGTATTTCTTCCCTGAGAACACCACACAGCAGTGGCAAGGGCCATTTCTTCCTTCTCTCAGGTCCCATCTGCCCAACATGTTCTCAAATGTCGAAGATTAACTTCAGTATACTGAATTCTTTGTGTTTCATGAGTCAGCAGTTGATGGGTCAGGATCTTTGTCATCCAGGTTGAACTGCAGTGGCATGATCACGGTTCACTGCAGCCTCAACCTCCTGGACTCAAGCAATCCTTCCTCGTTAGCCTCCCAAGTAGCTGGGACTACCGGCATACACCACAACTCCCAGTTATTTTTTTGAGTGGGGGAGGGGGGAATAGATGAGGTCTTGCTATGCCCAGGCTGGTCTCAAACTTCTGGAATACCCTGTTCTCTGATATTTTAATTAAATGCTGTTCTCTCCTACCTTTTCCAAATATCAATAGATCTTTTACTAAATCCTCCTTAGCTCAAGGGCACCCATGAAAGGAGATATGCAGTTAATACTGTCTCGGTTGATAGCTAAGAGGCCTTGTATTTCAATCTATGTCACTGAGTTCAGATAGAACGTCCTGAGTCAAGCCTACTGGCAGCTTTGGGTCTATACTACCAGAGCCACTAGTCCTTAATGGCTATTGAGCACTTGGAATGTGGCTGGCCCAAACTGAGACATTCTGTATGTGTAAAATACACACCAGATTCCTAAGACTTCATATAAAAAGGAATGCAAAATATCTCAATAATTTTTATATCTATTATATGTTAGAATAATTTTTTTCTCCTTTTTGTGAGTCAAGATCTCACTTTGTGGCCCATGCTGGAGGTCAGTGTCACAATCACAGCCTCAATTTCCTGGATTCAAGTGATTCTTCTGCCTCAGCTTCCCAAGTAGCTGGAACAACAGGTGCAGCAATTATGCCCAGTTGATTTGATTTTTTTGTAGAGATGAGGTCTCACTATGTTGCCCATGCTGGTCTTGAACTACTGAACTCAAGCAATCTACCTGCCTCGACCTCCCAAAGTGCTGGGATTATAGGTGTGAGCCACTACACCTGACCAATGATAATATTTTGAATGTATTGGATAATATATGTATTTCAGATAGAATGAATATATAAAATTACATATTAGATTAAAATAAAATGTGTTACTGAAGTTAATTTCACCTGTGTCTTTTTACTTTTAAATTGGCTACTAGAAATTTAAAACTATACTTACAGCTCACATTGTATTTCTATTGAACAGCGCTGATGAGTCATTTTCAACTGATATTTGCAAAATTGATCTGTTTTGTAAAAATGTCCCAGAAATAGTGGACTGTCTGTGCCTTTCTGTAAATCCTAGTCTGGCATGACAATAATATTCTCATGTTTATGAGGCAAAGGAAATGTCCCTGGCTTTTAACACCCAGACACCAAGGGGCTGGCCCATCGGTCACCAGTCCCCTGACTTTTTAAGAGCCAGTAGTGCTATAAAGAAGGACAAAATTATGGACTTTGCAGCAAATTGGATGGAATTGGAGACCATCATACCTAGTGATCTATCACAGAAACAAAGAACAGAATACCGCATGTTCTCACTCATATGAGAGACCTGGATTTTAATCACAATAGCACAGTGAGGGATCAGCAGTTGCAGGACACTGCCAGGGGAGGAAGGGGGGAGGCATGTAACAACACAAAGCGTACCTAAACCAGGGGAAGTGAGGACCAGTTGGAGACCCAAACTTCGCCTCCACAAACACGACTTACGTACCTAATCCTGACTTGTACCCCACCTCTTTGTTAGAAAATAAAGTTAAAAAAAAAAAAAGAGTCAGTGGTGTGTGCATTATCAGGGCAGGGCTAGCCAGGTGGCAAAGGTAAGCAAGGAGGCATTGGGCAATGCTATTGACTAAATGTTTGTGTGCTTCCAAAATTCATACGTTGAGTCCTAGTCCCCAGAGTATGTGGAGGTGGAGCCTTTAGAAAGTGATTAAATCACAAGGGTAGAGCCCTCATAATGGGATTTGTGCCCTAATAAGAAGAGACATGGGAAAAAGAGAGACATGCGCTCCCCTTCTTCCAGGAGAAGAGACAGTGAGAAGGTGACTATCTATAAGCCAGGAAGTGTGGCCCCACAGACAATTTGATCTTGGACTTCCAGCCTTTACAATTGTGAAAAATAAATGTTGAGGTCATTGCTTTGTTAAACTCTGGTGTGTCCATGTGGCTCTTTGAGCTACAGCCCCCGGGTTTCCTAGCTTTGGCCCTCTCCCCTACCTTGGGGATTTGAAACTCCTCTCTCTCTCTCTCTCTCTCTCTCTCTCTAATTTACTTTCTAAATAAACTATATTTTCCATTCTGACAAAAAGAAAAAGAAATATTGGTTGTTTAAACCACCCCATCTATAGTAATTGTTACACCAGCTGGCACTAAGATTGACAAATACTGATGTCATTCTGAGAATCTCCTGAAATAGAGCTGATCAGACAAGTTCTCAGCCTCCAGGGGCAGAGGCTGTATGGCCCCTTACATACAGCCTACTGGTTGGTGGGATCCCAACTGTCAGGAACAGAAGTATTTTTATTTTTTTCCCCGGTGAAAGATGTACTGCCTGTAACAGCTTGTGCCTGAGGCCTAACACTTCCTCCTAAATTTAGCTTTAAGCCCCCACAGGTGAGATTGGAAAAAGGCTGTGATTAGCAGCACACAGTCACTGTCAATCTGTAAAGCCAAGGTGTGAAGTTGACTCTTGCTTTCCAGCAAAAAGAGGAAAATGTACTTCACTGTCATGCTGCAAGGATAACCTGATGGACCTTGCTCAAATAGATTCTTGTACCTGTTAAGAAATTGGACTACGTGTTTCCTAAGATCTCTTGAAGTCGTAAACAATTATTCTTCCATACTCCCCAAATGCTCGTTTGTTTGGTGAGTGTATGCTGACTCCGAGACATGCAGGAGACAGTGGGAATGAAGATGGGATTGGGGTGGGCCAGAAGCCACATAAAGGAGTTTATTATGCAGTTTGTTAAAAGCCCCACCAGTCTTCTGATCAGCTTAGGACATATCACCAAGAGAGAGAACTGGACTAGGACAAAGCTTCCAAACTGGTAGCCCAGAGGTGAGTTCTATTTGACCAAAACAGCATTTTTTAGTAAATTCAAATTTAGAAGCAAATTAAGAGGATGTCTCTTAAAAAATCAAAAGGTTAAATTATTTTGAAAAATCCCCAAATCTGATAATAGTCTATACTTCCCCACTATAGGGTTAGAGCTAAGAAACATCTGCTCCCCTTGGAAGGGGCATGAGCCCTCCAGCTTGGGAGTCACTTTCTATCCTGCCTTACTCCTTTATGTTATCTATCTGTCATTTGACATTTACTAGTTTCCCTGGGGCTCCCTCAACAGACATTGAAAGACCCCAAGGCAAAATCAGTGATGGGGCAGAGGCTAAAATTGCTACGGCCACTGCCTAAGGGCTAAGATCTTGGCAGGCAAGCAGAGCCCAGAGCCGGAGAGACATATTACAACTTTTCCCAGGCAATCAAGGTTGTTTGGTGGCCTGATATGACAGACTCCTCACCTTTGCATCAATCTGGGAAACAAAGGAAGGGAAAGGGAGATAGCAAGGTGGGTTTGCCCAAAGGGCTAATCATTATTCTCTGCCTAGAGACCCACTCTGTTTTCACTTCCTGTAATTGCTGGAAAGGAAAGTTGGGGAGATATTTAGAAAGAGATATGTGGTCTGGGAGTAGCAGGAAAGATTCCACCCACTGTTTATGGGGTCCTTAAAGGCTCAAACCCAAAGGTGGATTGAGTTACCCCAGGTTACCCTTTGGGTCAATTACCAACACTTGCTCCAAAAACAAAACAAAACAACATTTTATGCAGGAGGGCTCAGAGGCAGCAATAGCAAGAGATAATTGTCTTGCCATGGGAGATTTTAAAGGTGTAAGGAAAAATTAGAATCTACTCTTCCCAGTCTGACTGCAAATTTAAAGGTAGAAGAAGGTATTGAAGAGAGAAGTGTCTTCTGGATTTGTTTAAATTGGTTTGACTTCATGCATAAAAGAGACTGCACAGTTTTGTAAAACTGACCTCATGTTAATTCCCAATGGGTACTGCTTAGATCACTGTTTGAATTTTATTTGCAACAGAAACAGTTTCTTTTTGAGAAAACACCCCTGTGTAGACTCAAAGGCCATTAATTGGACTCATTGGGATGCTCTGCTTCTACCCTAAACCCTGCCAGTTCTCAGACCTGGAACTCCTGGTACCATTTGGTGGTACCTTCCATTCTAATAAGCAGTGCATTAAGATGCTTTAACTCATCTGTTGTGTAAATAGGACAGAAGTTTTCAAGTCACCTTTCTAAGGTTCCAGCTTCTCATTGTCAGAAGAGTGGAAGGCAAAGAGAAGAATGATTTTCCAATTTCCTGCTGTAGTTTCATCTCCCAACATACCCAGAAACCCCCTTAACGTCTAATCACAAACAAACACTCCTTACACCTCCCTCCAAACACAGGCCTATTCCAAAAACCCCAAATATGAAAACCAACGAATTTAAGAACTGATTGGCATCTCAAAAACTATCATTGAGTGCAATGCCTTCATTTTACTTTGAGGAAATAAGCCCAGAGAGGCAAGAGATCTTCCCATAGTTACACAGCTACTAAGTGGTAGAGCAGGGAATAGGAGTTCATATCTACATCTCAGATCCTAGTCTAGTCAATCAACATTCTTCCTACTGCATTATGCCCCAGTTCATTTGCAGGTAAAGCAGGAGATAGAGTACAGGAAGGAAAAGGATCACGGCGGCAACAAAGATCTGCCTGTAGTGCGGAACACTTACTCTTCTTCAGGACTTGCCGGCACTCAGAGGTGATAGGTGGAGCATTGGACTTCGACAGGGCATTTGAGAGGACCTCAATGATGCAGCGAGTCACCTAGAAGAAAACTCAAAAGCAGTTAGAAAAGCTGATGACACTAGAATGACGGACTACGCTACCCAGAGCTGCTGTCGAAGGAGGCTTGACTATGTGAACTGCACTGACGCAGGATCCTTTGGGTAGCAATACAGAGTTACGGGACCATAATGAAACCTTCCAAGTCTCTACACAGAACAATGCAACAATGCACTGAGTTGAGATTTCCCTGAGAAGGGAAATAAGCACCCATTTATGAACCCATTGGAAGGAAAATGCTGAGAAGACACAGCTATCATTAGGGACACTAAGATCTAGCTCAGGAAGGGCATCTCTTGTCTCCATTATTTTGGATGAAAATGTGACTTTGTAAGGCTGTGTTGTGTGCGTGTGTGTGTGCGTGTGTGGATGTGAGTTTGGTTTGGTATGTTAGGGAGGGGGCAATCTAGTCTCCAGATACAAGTCTAGATAGATCCTAAGACTGACATTTCAACTTACCATTTCTTCATTATGGTTCCTGTTCTCCACTGGCATGGAACTGACAGCTTTGAAGGAGAAAAAGAATGGAAAAGGATTTGAGTTGATTTTGTGGAAGCTGTATGAACCCAAACTCGCAAATAACCCCATGTTAGGTAGAGAGAGGGGCAGAATCAGCGCTAAGCAGAATACAGATAGTTGGGGGTGATGGCCATAGAGGCCATAATGGCTCCTATTGCATGTACACACACGTGTATACATATGTACACATGCACACACATGCATATGTACACACAGGTACACACATAGTTGTTTTTCCCTGGCAATGTCTTAACTATGTTTGAAAATAAATGCTATAGCCAATATAAATCAAATCCAGATCACAGACAATAGGAACTTTTAGGTTACTGGAAATGTTTTGTTTCCTGATCTGGGTGCTGGATACACAGGTGTGCTCATTAAGCTGTATACTCATGATCTGTACAGTTTTCTAAATATTATACTGAAATAAAAAGTTTAAAACAAAGCAAATCAAAGTAAAACCAGGGTGCCCTCTTCAACCCTTCTCTGCCCACCCAAGCTGGGGTAAAGATTCATGGCTCCCTCTGCATATCCCTCTTCTCAAGAAAATATCCTCCCCAAATTCACTTTACCAAAACACGATCATGACTTGTTGCATAATTAATCACCTCATTTTTTAGCCCCAAGTCCTTTGCCAGAACAAGCTTGCTTATGTATCTGTATCAACATTGTCTCCCTTCCCCAATGATGTCTCATTCTCCTAGTTCAGCATCAAGTTCATAATATCATATATAAATTTGCGTTTAACAACTTGTTGTTGAGACTATTTTAAAAGGGAATAATGTTAATTTATTTAAATCAATTTTCATGAGATTCTGCCTATTTTAAAACAGTGTTTGAAGTCACCTTGTCTTCTTAGAAAATGATCCAGGTAATTTTAATTTTCCAGTGTCATTTTTTTCTCCTCTCTCAAAGCTGCTTTGATTTTTTTACTTTTCATTTTTACATTGCTCTGCGTAAGCCCTTTCCATTAGAACAGCTCAAAGCATTTACATATAAGTTCATCTCTATAGTTCTTCTGGCACTTTCTAGAGTAGACAACTCCTATTACGGCAGGATAAGCTTAGTGCAGAAAATTGTTCTATGTTTCTGAGACAAAAGAAGAGTGAGCTGGGATAAGTAGAGCAAAACCCTCAGACCTCAGACACGGAAGATACTCAAATGCAGTTTATTCGTGACTAGCAATCTGACCTTTCCTCCCAAAAGGCTTTGCTTTCCAAGCCTCTGTAACATTCTTCCCCCTGTGAGATGTATCAATTACATATATGTATCATTACATATCATAGGCTTCAACCTAGAAATAACACACTTATTTCACTAACTTTACTAATTTTTTCTTTTCAAAGCATGGTTGGGATCTACTTCAATTTTTTCAAGAGACCCAGAGTTATCCAGTTAGAATCATTTTTAAATGTTTGAAAAGTGATTAACAAGCTATGAAGACCCTAAGCTCTTTCTAAAATTCAGGTAAGACAAGATTTAGATGGTCCACTTTGGGAACCCAAGGTCCAATATGCCAGGTTGTTCTTTTATTCCCAAAATGGCTGTTATCTGAGAACACACCCACTTGGACTCTTTCTATTTCCACTTGAAATCTGTAACATCCTCTGGAAAGAAATAACTATAGGAGAATTACTTTCCTAATAAACTAGAAGGTGTCTTTCTAAAATCCAGCTTTATTAAAATACTTTTTTTCTTTTTTCACAAATGTAAAGTAGATACTTTTATTAATGGCTGGTATTGCCAAAGTATTAATAGCTATCAGATTTGGAAGAAAAGAAAGATTTTTCTTTTATTACTCGAGACAATTTATAGCCTATGTTTGTTATTACAGAACAGTCTCATTTCTCTGATTGAGGCTCTTCAGATCTCTTTTTGATAGAAAAAAATACCAGGGTCTGTTTGTGAAAGTGCACTATATATCTTGGTGAGCCATCTCAGTGCCACCATATTTCTTCCAATAGAATCTGTGACAGCAAAGTAACAGCCAAAGACATGTTGTTCCCCTAAAGTAGCTCAACTTCTCTTTGTAGATAGTAAGATTCAGGGGGCACAAAAAAAAAATCAAATACTCATGTTAAAAGCAAAGTAATCAAATGGTAGGAAAAAACCAAATAATATGGCAAATCTGATAACTTCCAATAACTTTAATATATAAGACTATTATGGTTTGATCCCAGACTGAAAATATAGCTGTAAAATAAATTAAGCAAGCTCTTCGGGAGGCAGAAACCATCTTACATAGAATAATAAGGATATCATGTGGCTAATTCACTCATAATAATTTTTAGAGCTCAGCAGCTACTGCAGAAGGTTGTGGAACTCCCTTCAGAAGCTCCTAAGAGTGGGAAATGAACTAGATGGTTTTTTGAAGTTTTCCCCAGCCCTGTGATTTTGCAAATAACAAACTCTATTTGAAAGTTATTATATCTTATTGCCAGGGCCTGGGGGAAGGTGGAAATGGGGAGGTGTCTGTTAATGGGTATAGGTTGTCTTTTGGGGGTGATGAAAATGTTCTGAAATTTGGTAGTGGTGATGGTTACACAATCTGCAAATATACTGAAAATTATATATATACATATATGTCTGAATTATACATGTTTAAAGGGTGGATTTTAAGGTGTATGAATTATAGCTCAAATTTTTTTTCTTAAGAATGTAATGTCTCCATTTTACCTGACATTAAATTATAAGGCTTTATTAAAATATTCTCTTACATAAGAGCTCTGTATGTATTTTCACCACAATAGTTAAACAATTTCCACAAATGTCACTGTTTTTGTGGTCAATAGTACAACGTACAGCACAACCTTAGTCTCTCAAGCAAATTTTTTCTGAAAGTATTTTGACCAGAAAGAATTCCAAATTATTTATTTTGTTTGCTTTAATGAAATTGAGGGTTTGTATTGGCAATCTGTAAAAATGACAAGAATTTTAGAAAATTCTGAATGTATATAGCGTGCAATAAAATAAATTACTAACAGGTTTAATTTGGGGTCTACATTTTCCATTCAACAATAGTTGTCAATAAAAGATATATATTCATGGAGGACAATATCTTAATTTTATTCAGGAAATTCAATATCAGATATGAATAATTCTCTCAAGGTCATGAAAACAGCCAAATAAAACCTCTAGTAGAATTTGATGGCGGTATATTTACTTCTCAATTGTCTCATCCATAGTGAATTTACTTCAACACACACACACACACTCACACACATTTTTCAAATCTTCAGAATTCATTTCTTTGAAACTCAGAGTACTTTGAAAAATCAACACCACAACCTCCATACATAAAGAGAGAAACTGCTAAATATCTATTGGTTAAAATTTCATCCTCCTAAATTGACTTAAAAAAAAAACATCCTTTTTACTACTCTGAAGACGCTCCTGTGGTTATTTTCTACTCTACTTATTTTCCTGGATACAAAAAGTCAGAATATCTACTGCATTTTCCATTCATAATTTAAAATGAATGAATTTGAGTATGAAATTATCTTTCTCTAGAGGTGGAAATACAAAACACAGAAACATATTACGCCTGCACACACTTATACACGAACACATACGCACACATATATTATAATAACATGTTAAAAATACATATATAACTATGGAATTTATCTCATCATGTTTATATAATAATGATAATAGTTGGCAGATGCCAACTAATATATCGCTACATGTTGCCTGCCTCTGTAGTCACCTGGCTTAAAAAGCCAAACGGACGCAGAATCAGACTACACCGAGGTATCTCTCGACTGGCAGAGAGAGCGTGACATTTTACAAGTGACCACAACATGTGGGGTTTCCTCGGAGGTGAGGCAGGTTTCCTTTCTTCCTACCTACAGGAAAACTCAGATATGAGCAGACTGAGACTCTCCAGTCTGAACTGGAAAGCCCTCTACCTTTTTCCAAGTCAAACGGTCGGGGGGAGTTGGAGGGAAAGACCCAGGGAAGAGAAGAAAGAAAGAACCTCAAGCCAGAGAGAAACCTTCCACTCGACCCTCCCTCTCTCAGTGGCGGAGCGAGCCTGGCGCTGTCCGCGGTGCTGAACGACCCGCCGCGCCCACTCACCGGCCAGCACCGCGGCTCCCAGGAGGCTGAGAAGCACGGCAGGCGGCATGGCTCGGCTCGCCAGGACCTGCGCGGAGAACAGGATGGTGGCTGGACCGATGAGGCGAGGTGCAGAAGGAAGGCGAGATGGAGGTGCTCCGGGAAACCCGCGTGCGTCTGGGTCCCCGCGGTGTGGCGCGGTTGGCGCAGGCCCCGCTCTTTTAAAGGGTGGGCGGGGGCCGCAGGGCCGGGAGGGGCGGGCAGTCGGGAGGGGGGCGCCTTCCAGCTCAGCCCTGACGTCACGAAGCAGCCCCCCGGGCGCCGACGCAAACAGGCGGAAATTTACGCCAGTCCAGTCGCCTGGGTGTGCTGGGTCTGGAGCGGGAGTGGGGAGGAGGGCGGGCGAAAGAACGGGAAGGTGAGGGAGGTGGTGTAGATCTGAGACGAGAGCGGGGTCAGGCGGGAGGTTCCGCCTAGATAGCCTACGCTTGCTCCTCATCTCCCCCTCACACACACTACACACACCTCCAAATCTAAAAACGTGTATTCGTGGCTGTGTGCATATGCGTGTGGTTCTGCTGGGAGTGTGTGCATGACTAAGTCGTTTGTGTTTCCACGACCCAGCTGAGGGAAAGACTCTGCTAACAAGAAAGAACTAAACGGTCGGTCCTGGAAAATGGAAGAGAGAGGCTTGAAAAAGAAGGTGCGGCCAGAGAATCATGGACTTGATGTTCCTTCAAACTTTTGGTCTTTATAGCTATCTATAGGTATCCATGATTCCATGTGTCTATTCTCATTCTCTCTCTCTCTCTCTCTCTCTCTCTCTCTCTCTCTCTCTCTCTCTCTGTCTCTCTCTCTTTCTCTCCTCTCTCTCTCTCTCTCCCTCCCTCTTTCCCTTCCTCTCCCTGCCTCCACTCTGAATAACATATACACATAGAAGAAACAAACAAACAACAACAACAAAAACATAGTACAAAGGAGTCTCCCTTTCATCTCTGTCTCTAGTTTTCAAGTTCCTTATCTTTCTGCAGTCAACATGACTGTATCACTTTCTGTGATTTAGGCTTAATATGTTTTGGAACATACACAGCTGCATCTTGTTTTGAATGGCTGCATTGTATTACATTGTATAAGTACGCTAGAATTTATTTTAACCAGTCCCCTCCCTGTTGGGCATTTCTTTGGATTGTTACCTTTGGTCTTTACTACTTTACAAAAGAGCTATAGTCTCAGGGGTGGTAGGAATAACCTGCTTGTAAAAACCACATCCTACAAGCCCAATGCATCCTCTCTTGCTTTAAAAATGAGACAGGAAAATATTTTATTATGTGTGAGAAAAAGGTGAAAACATCTTTCAGAATATTTTTGACATGGATTCCCTCAGCCTAATAAGAAATGAGGAAAAAAGCAGCAGGCAAGTGCCCTGGGTGGAAAAGGAACAATATTCTCTGCGCAGGCTTTTGGGAACAGAGTAAGACTTCATTTGGGTTCTCTTCATTCAGGAAATGAAGATGTCTGCATGCTCAGCTAAAAGAAGCTTTCAGTTTCCTTTTCCTGAAAATTAATGAGACTTCAACTCTTTTGCATGTGTTGATTGGATGGCTATATCCTTCTGGGAAGGTTGGGGATTATCTCGCCAATACCACAGCCACTAAATATTTGAAATAAAATCATCTTTAAAAGAATATTAGTGGAACAATTGGTAGACTTTGAATAAGATCTATGGAATACTTAATCATATTGTATTAATGGTCATTTCCTGATTTTGAAAGGTATTCTGTAATTATGTTAGAGAAATCTTTGTTTTTAGGAAATGCTCATTGACACATCCTGAGGTAAAAAAGGGTATTATATGTACCACTTACTCTCAAGGTTTTGAAAAAGATATAAAGATAAAGACAATGCTAGGACAAATGGGACAAAATGTTAACATTTGGAGAATTGAGGTGAAAGGTATATGGGAATTTTAATACTATTTTTGCATTTATTTGAAATTTGAAATTATTTTAAAATAAAGAAAAAATACTTGGGCATAAAAGAGTCTGTTTAAAGCCTCTGTAAAGCAGTGAGTGCAGAAAAAGAAGCTGTCAAGTGAGGGCCCTTTCTTGGATGCAGATCTGTGAGAAGCTTTTCTTCCACTGTTGAAATTACATGAGAGTTTCAACTTCTCTTTAAAAATCCAGGAGCCTCTGCATTTCAGTTTTCCAGTGTTCTCTCTCTCTTCTTGCTCCCTTGAAAAGCACGAAGTTCGACAATGTTAATGTCATTGTGTGGCTTCTCAGGCTCTGCTTGGGCTCAGTTTATTACTCATCAAGACAAGTCCTGACGCAGGAAAGATCTTTTCATTATTGTCAATTGAAGGGGAAAAAAAGGCAACGCTGGCCTACAGCCAGTTCCCACATTCAGACTCAGCTTTCTTTTTTCATGTTCACTGTTTTATAAACTCTTTATGATTTTGCCTTTCACATTTGGATTTCCATGGACCAGGAAAATAAAAGCCATCAGGAGAAGCATTTCTCAGTAATTATCTCAAAGCAGGGTGAAGTAGAAAAACCAGTATTTTCCTTAGAAACCAAGATTTAGAATAAACACTGCATGAGATAGGAGTAGTCACATTTTTGTATCATATTATCATCACCCAGTTGTCCTGATAATTTTTACTGATAATGTTCTGGATATAATGTTACCTTAAATATTACCAAAATACCAGGAAAAGAAGACATAGGAAAGAGTATCCAGTCTGTGTAACATAGTGAGACACTGTCTTTACAAAAAAATTTTAAAATTAGCCTGGCCTAGTGGTGAGTGCCTGTAGTTCCAGCTACTCAGAAGGCCGAAGTGGGAGGATTACCTGAACCTAGGAGGCCGAGGCTGTGGTGATGGTGAGCTGTGAACATGCCACTGTACTCCAGCTTGGGCAACAGTGAGACCCTGACTCAAAAAAAAAATCTTTCAGGAATGCTTTCAAAGAATTAAGAAGGGAAACAAACATATCCCTTTTAGGAACTAGGGTTAGAATAAATTATGGTTTTGTACCTGGCTCCTGAAATAGATTATCTGTCAGAGTCTATCCTGGAAAATGAAACCAATAAAGAGAATCTGCTACAAGAAATAATACACAGGTATTAGAAAAGTTGAAAGAGCAGAGGAAGAGATTAGCCACTGCAGGCAGTGAAACAAAGGAAAAATGTGTCCTCCCTAGAGCTGAGAAACATAGGCCACTTAATGAGAGTGGAAATATCAGCCAGCTAGGTAGGAGGGATCTGGGGACATGGGGAGAAAGGGCTGTCTGATGGGAGCTGAAACCACAGAAGAGAAGAAGCCACGGCTAGACATGCATCTCCCTCTTCTCAAGACAAGATAGAGGAGAGAGGTATCTTGGCTTATTTTTCCTTTTAGTGCTAGTGCCTCTTAGTGGTTAACCCATCTGGGAGCAATTGGCAAGGATGCCTGGGAAATATAGTCTGCAAGGATCATGTGCCTCGATGATACAGAAGAGAGCAAGAGAGGGAATTGGAAAGCAAACCGACGAATGAATGGCATACAGATCAAAACCACCTAGCAGTACAGTTATTGAATTTAGATTTTCTCTCAAAATGAATTTCATGAGTTTATTTCACTTGTATATATGAATGCTGACTAGGCGTTGATAACAGCGGTACATGCATATTCCTCTGACTATAACAAGTTATAGGATCAATCCCAGCGTTTATGGCACACCACCTACTCACCAGCCAGTCAGTGAGTAAAGGTGGAAGACTCCAGTTCTAGGATGGAGGGCAAGAGAGCACTGCATGCTTACAGAATTCCTCATGCTTGCAACCAACAGGATAAACATTTATCTCTTTGACTTTTAGTTTTGTTTTTAACTAATAAAGAGTACCATATCAATAAGTAGTTCCCTTAGTTTGGTCTTAGAATACCTGATTTCTTAGGTTAGATCAGATTCTTGATGCACTTCAACATACTTAAGAAATCACAAACCAAATCTTCATTTTAAGAGAGGATAGAAATAATTTTTTAGCTAGGCACAGTGGCTCATGCCTGTAATCCCAGCACTTTAGGAGGCCAAGACAGGAGGATCACTGGAGCCCAGGAGTTCAAGACCAGCCAGGGCAACAAAGAAAGACTTCGTGTCTATTAAAAAAATCATCCAAGTGTAGTGACATGCACCTATAGTCCCAGTTACTTGGAAGACTGAGACAGAAGGATCACCTGAGTCCAGGAGGTCAAGACTGTGTTGAGCCAGGATAGTGCCACTACACTCCAGCCTGGGTGACAGAGTGAGACTCTGATGAAGGAAGGAAAGAAAGAAAAGAAAGAAAGAAGGAAGGAAGGAAGGAAGGAAGGAAGGAAGGAAGGAAGGAAGGAAGGAAAGAAGTGAGGGAGGGAGAGAGAGAGGGAAGAAGGGGAGAAGGGGAAGAGGGGAGGAAAGGGGAGGGGCAGGAGAGGGGAAGGGAAGAAAAGAAAATAAATCATTTTTTAAAGTCCACTAAATTGTGAGTAACTCCATATAATTTGCATGCAAATACATATTAATAAAAATTAAGGGAAGCCAAGAGGTAGAGCCACAGCCATTCAGGTGTGACAAAGCAGGGGATGTTCCTCTTCAATTTGGAGTTTGCATAGAATGGGATGTGTCAGATGAACAAATTCACTTACTTGTTTATAACCTGAGAAAGCAAGAAACCGATACTGAGAAGTAGGTAGGATAACTGCATTTTAGGTCTTGGCAAATCTCTGTAGTTAGCAACATATCACGTTGGAAGGATCTGGAATGAACAGTACTTTCTGGTCTTTTGTTTGTCCCTCTCAACATGCTCACTTGGTAGAGTAATTTATAGTTTCCAAAGCACTTTCACAAATGCTGCACACTGAATTTTTTTTAAAGGTCATTAAATAGACTGCTCAGGCCTCTAATACTCACTTTACAGGTGAGGAAAATGACGTTAAAATTAAAAACACAAAATATTTTGTCCATGATCACATGGTGGGAAGGGGCAGGACTGAGATTACTTTTTGTTTCCTTCCTTTTTTTTTTTTAGAGATGAGGTCTCGCCAAGTTGTCCACCTTGGTCTCGAACTCCTGGGTTCAGGTAATCCTCTTACTTCAGCCTCCCAAAGTGCTGGGATTACAGGTATGAGCCACCATGCCCCCAGCCCTTGGTTCACTTCTTAAAGCTAATTGTTAAAAAATGCTTTTTGAAAAAATTTTAAAAAGTCAAGTAACATGCACACATCTTTACTGTATAGTCATTAAAGTTTTACACGTGTATACACCCATATAGTAACTACTCTGATCTAAAACATTCTCAGCACCCCAGAAAGTTTCCTCATGCCTCTCAGTTGACACTCTCATGAGATAACCACT